GACAAAGCAATTATAAAACTTGTCAAACAAAGTCTATATTCCAATCCTTGAAAATAGTTAGCAAAACCACAACATTTATCTGGTCACTATCTGGGATTCTCTGCTGCCCTCTTACATGGGTTCAGAGTCAATGTTCTAAGTTTCCATTGTCTCGGTGCTGAAGTACTATAAATGATTTGACCAATGTTCTCACTGTAGCTTTAACCCAGTGATTTCCTGTCCTTCACTCTGGGTAGGAAACAGTGGGAAAAAAAAAAAAGAAAAAGAAAGGGAGGGAAGAAAGCAAGAAGGAAGGGAGGATGAATGGATCAACTCTAAGGCTAAATGGAAACCAGAAAGAAGAAATAAGACTGAAGTTTTTCACAATAGAAACGAGTTAACAAGAAAAGAGAAGAAGTATATGTATATTACTTCTTCCCCAAAAGGGATATTACCTCATCCCTGACAACACAACAAATCTCAAAGCTGAAGAATTTCTTTTCTCCATGTCCTCCTGTTTAGCCACAGAAGGAAAGTAGACAGTTCATACATAATATATCCAAATGTGTCAACGCAAGCTGGACTCAGAATCTTGAAAGAAAGCTTAATAAATCATAATTTTGATTCACACTGTCCAAGAGGCTCAAAAATAAGATTCCATTTATAACTCTAAGCTTAACTTTTCAGCTATGCATAATTTGCCTCTGAGAGTGGGAGGAAACCATGCAGTATGTCGAGTTTGCTTCAGATCTCACCCCTCAGAACTACCTCATATGGCAGTAGTGAAAGACATTCTCTGTCTTTTATCACCTACATGATTAAATTCTTCATCAGTGAGCCAGTTGCTTAGAATGGGTACATTACTTTCCAGAAAAAAAAAAAAAAAAAAAAAAAACTGACACTAGCAGAGCTTGTCTTACTTGTGAAGCAAATGAAAACAGTTCCCACCCCCACCTCCCCACCCCTACCCCGTTCACCAAGGGTGGCCACCAGGTCAGCAGAGTGAGTTGAGGGAGTCAGATTCACACATCTGTCTTAGAGGTTTTCATTTCCACCGCACTATCAGAATAACCAACAGGAATATGTGCCAGATTCGCTCTCAAGCACTTTGCATGAAGTAACTCCATTTCATCTTCACGACTGTCAGCTCAGTATTTTCATGTTCACCACTTTAGATTTGAAGGAATTATGGCCCAAAAAGGTTAAATAACTTGTCCAAGACCACACAGCTAGTAAGTAGCAGAGCCAAGATCTGAGTGACCGTGGCTCTGGAGTCTTTACCTTACACTCTATACTAAAGTGTCTCCCCAACACAGCACAAAGAACACCAGGTTTGGAGACAGAAGACATGGAGTTGAGTTCTTCAAAAAATTCAGCTTTTCTAAGGCTCAGTTGTAGGATTAAAGGAGACGATATCATTTAAATATATACCTACCAATAAAGTGTTCTACAAATATAAAGGAACATTAATATTTATAAGCCTTGTAAAACTCATTCTCAACTTATATGCCATTTGTTTTACTATAATCTTGAAAAGTATATTACTATCATCTTCAGATGGTACATTCTATGTTATTTTCCTTTCTTTCTTTTTTAATTGAAAAGACTGGAACTTTTTGAAGATTTTTCTTTGAAGGACAAAATAATCATTTTTCTAAGAGTGGAAATATTGACAATTTTTCAAAAGATCATTTTCTAGACCTATTAAAAATTGACTCTCTCACACTTAGCTAGATAAACAATAGAATTATTTCTTCAAATTTGGTTGCTGTATCAGTTTTCCATTGTTGCCATAACAAATTATCACAAACTCAGTGGCTTAAAACAACACATATTTATTATCTTTAGTTCTTTAGTTAGATAGGAGGAAAAAGTTCAAGACATCTATTGTATAACATGGTGACCATAGTCACCATATCAACAAAGTGACTAAGCATTAACCAGGCATGTAATCACCTGTAATCACAGGGACTGGGGAAACTGAGGCAGGAGGAGCCAAGTTCAAGGTCAGCCTCAGCCACTTAGCAAGACCCTAAGCAACTTACCAAAACCCTGTTTTAAAATAAAAAATAGAAAGGGCTGGGGATGTATTTCAGTGGTAGAGTACTAGACTCAATCTCCAAAGGAAAAAAGAAGAAAAAAAGTATTGTATTCTTAAAAATTGCTAAGAGAATGGATTTTAAGTATTCACACCACAAAAAAAATAAGCATGTGAGATAATATGCCTATGTTCATTAGTTGAATTTAGCTATTCCATATTGTATATATTTTTCAAAACATAATATTATATACAATAAATATAGACAATCTCTATTTGTCAATTTAAAGATTAAATCATTTTTAAATGATTTTTTAAAAGAAGTCTGACACAAGTCTCATTGCCATAAAATCAAAATGTCAGCAGTGTTGCATTCCTTTCTGGAATTCTCTAAGGCAGAATCTATTTCCTTGTCTTTAGTTTCTAGAGGCCACCTACATTTCTTGGCTAATGGCCCCTTCCTCCATCTTCATAGCTAACAATATAGCATGCCTCTGACACTTTTTTTTTTGAACTGATGCTTTATCAGAAGCATTTTTTATTGGTGCATTATAGTTGTACATAATGGTGGAATTTTTTATATATTAATACATGCACATAATATAACTATATAATTTGACCAATACCACTCTCATTCCACATTCCCCCTCCACTCTTCCTACCTACCCACAGATCTGACCCTTCTGCTATTATCATATCTCTTTCTGAGCATAGCCAGGAAAGGTTCTTTTTCTCAAAGACTCAGGAGATTAGATCAGGCCTTCCTAGATACTCTAGGATGATATCATCCCAAAATCCTTGATCTTGATCATATTTGCAAAGGTTTGGATTTGTTTTTTTCATTTGTTTGTTTTGTTTTTGTTGTTTATCTAGGTTTGGGAGTTTTGTTTTTTGTTGTTTTTGTTTTGGGGCTTTTTGTGGGTTCTTTTTTGTTTTGTGTTGTGTTTGCCATATAACCCATTCCCAGGCTCTGAGGGTTAGAATGTAGCATCTTTGGGAGAACTGCCTTCCATAATTGTGAATGTTAGGGAAAAAAAAAAAAAAACTCAACCTGTGATATTAAAAAGGCTTACCAAAGAACAAAAGTTTAAGAATGATGTCAGTGCTGCCTTCTGAAAACCTCTAAGTCAGAAGAGCTATTAAGACACAGAGGAGATAAAGTCCAGCCAATGTGATTTCAAATAAACAAATAAAAAAAGCCTGACAACAGTGGGCGAGGGATGGGAATGACACATCCATACCAAAACCAAGGGACAGCCTGAAAACAGCCCAGAACAAGGCCAGGAAATATACTCATCACTCTTTTGGGAATGAAGAGCCTCCTTTCTGATCATAGTTTATCATGTTTTTTTGGAAAACTTACAGTCATATGTCATCATCTTAGACATCAAAAAAAAAAAAAAAAGACCTTTTTACCCAAATTTTAAAAAACAACTCTACTATTTTTTAAAGATAAATTAAACAAATGAAAGAAGTCAACTCTCCCAAGCATTGGTTTTGTATCATTTGGGTGGCAACATGGATTATCTAAACGGTGTTGAAAAAGTATTGTCAGGGCACAGGTGGTGAAGGTTTCCATGTGCTCAATATTAGGAGCAGAAGGAATCCACAAGCCACAGAGACTGAGTGCTGAGATCAGGAGCACACTTTAGTAGCTTGCATACTTCCCCATGTTATTACATTTTTCAAAAAGCCCAAGGGTGTTAGGTGCCATGAGGGTTGTCTGGCAGATATACTCAGGAAGAGTAACCACAACATCAGCGAGTCTCATTCCAGCCTATTTTATCATTTCCATAAAATTATGCCATCTTATACAATCATCAGGACTTCTAAGCCACCAAGAAACTGTGAACTGACAAGAACTAGCTTTTCGGAATAGCCCCCAAAACAGAACAAATTTAATTATTCTGAGGCCTGCTTTTTAGGAGAGATTAACTTTGCTTTTAAAAATCTGTGTCCTCAAAGCACATGTATGACTCACAGTTAGATGCGTATATTTCCATTTAGAGGACTTATTAGGTAGGGAGACAGGAACAAGGTCTAAATGTCAGGGAAAAAGTTACCAATGAACTAAGCAAGGGATCAGGGCCACCTGCATGTGTGAGGCCCTTGGTTCAATCCCCAGCACCACCCCTACCGTAACCCTTGCCTTCCCTCCCCGCCACCAAAAAAAAAAAAAACTGCCTTTGTGTGAGTTCCTATTTTTGTAAGTTCAAAGAGCAAATATGGCAAAGTTTCTGTCCTTCAGGAGTTATGTTCTACTGAGGGAACATGAGTAGGGAGGGGGAGATAAAAACAGCCCTTTTTTATCTGCAGTTTTCTCTTCTAAAAATATGTGGGCATTAGACTAGATTGTAATGTTTCTCCTAACTCCTGGTGTTCCAAGAGAGAAGAGAGAAAACTTGGAAGGCTTAGCAGTGGTTATTTTGGTTGATATAAAAGAATTTTTTTTTGGTTGTTTACCATTGCCTTCTGATAGTTTTCTATAATGAACACGCATTACACATGAAATGGAAAAATGTTTAAGAAAAACAGTGGGGAAATTTTCCTTTCCATCCTGGGTGTTGGTTCCTGAAGGTGTCATTCCACCGTCAGTAATGAGAGCTGTCAGTGGAAACTCCCTCATCCCTCCAGGGACTTGCTTATGATTACCTTTGCCTAATAAGGCTTCAGGGAAAATGCTCAGAGAGTCTTTCAGCCCTTTTCTTGTTACCTCTGTGTGGCCTCTTCTCTTTTCTTTGCACACTTGAAGGAAGCCCTTTCCTACCTAGGAATGTTCAGTCATCCCTCTCTGTCTTCCTCTCAGTCTCTATCTCTGTCTCTCTCTCAAACACAAGCACATGTATGATCACAGTTAGGTGCTTATTTTTCCATTTAAAGGACTTAGTAGTTAGGGGACGGGAACGAGGTCTAGATCTTAGCATGCTGACTTCTCCCCCGTCACAACATCTGGACTGAAATGTTACTTGCACAGAGGCCTTACCTGAGCAGTTTCACAACTTCATTCCTATTTATCACTCATTGTATCATTCTCCATATTTGCTATCAGATCTCTGCTCCTTTCTTCCACTTCTAATTCGTATGTATTTAGTTTCTTTACAAGCTTCTTATTCCCCCAACAAGTCTGAAGTCCATCCTGAGGATAGAGAAAGGTTTTTCTGAACACTGCTGCACCTCTGGGACTCAACAATACCTAATGCTTTTTAGGCACTCAATTAATATTGGTTGGTAAGTGGGAAAATGAACGAATAGCATGGCTTCTTTGTCCTCTCCTTGGTCAAGTTCTATTCCCATTCAGTCGTGGGCAGCAGCCAAGCCCTCTGCCAACTCAAAAAGTCAATTGTTAAATTTTCAGGGACTTTACAAGCTGGTTGTTAAGCCATTTGTGGCTTGAAATCAGCTCTGGTGAGCATACTTATACCACAGAAATCTGCAAATTGCTAAGTCAAGACTATTTTTTCCAAAGAGCTGGTTTACCAGCACACCACTTCTCTCATCTTCAAAATTCAACTGTAAATATTCATACAGCATGGTAAAAAGCATACCCCATAGGTTACTTAAAAATCTTTCAATAAAAATTTGCTTGAAGTTTTTAAAAAAATACCAAATACATGCTATACAATTATTTATCTGTTGAAAATACATGGTCCTTTTATAAGTTAAATTACGATCTGTGTCTCTGGTCATTTAAAGTTTTTGTGTCTGTTTTTCAGATCCTTATGTGAAGATTCATCTGATGCAGAATGGCAAGAGGCTGAAGAAGAAAAAGACAACAATTAAAAAGAACACACTTAACCCCTACTACAATGAGTCTTTCAGCTTTGAAGTACCTTTTGAGCAAATCCAGGTAAATGTCAGACATAATTTTGTTCCCCCATTCAATTTCATTTCTTCAGACCACACAAATGATACACACTGTTATCAGTGTCCGTGTCATGCTTTGAACTTCCATTCCTATTGCCCTGCACATCTGATGCTTGAGCCGCAGCAAGAGGCATATGACAAAATACACAGCACAGAACGTCAGCCAAAAACAGCTGTCCTTCTGCTCAACAGAAGCAAGGTTAAAAAAAAAAAAAGAAAAGAAAAGAAAATCAGCAGAACAACTTGGCTAACTCAAAAAGTTCATCCATGAAGTTTAAAAGTCAAGAGAAAATGAGTTTTCAGTCTTTATTCTCCAGCCATAAAAAGAAACTCTTCCTATGACATCTTTAGAACAAAAAAAGCAGAGATAAGAAGAAATTTTGAGTGATGCTAAATATGCAGTAACTTGAATTCTTATTAAAAGATAATTAACAAGAGAAAAAAATAGGCTAAGTTGTATCTTAGCTGTTTAAATTTGGCTTCCTATGACTGATTTGGAATAGATACATATTTTTGTAACAAAGGAGACTTAATTGTTTAAACAATTATGGTAGAAAGTAGCCAAAAGATCTTATAGTTAATGTATACAAATAAGATGCTATTTGTAGCCACAATGATAATATACAATACTTTTATTTAGGTATTTCAAAAAATACTTAAATTTTCTTGCCCCATTTTCACATCTATCAAAGGTCACATTCAATAGTTGTGGCCTATCTTGCTAGTCTTTAATGGGTATCAGGAAGTCAAACTGCATAAAACAACACTATTTTTTACATTTTATTAAATAATTGATGTGGTTCTATGTTTGCAGTGGTATTAACAGTGGTACTAATTGAGGAATGTTATTTAATTTCAACTTATTGAGAAGGAAATTTCAACAGCTACCTGTGATTAGTAGAGCAGTTTTTATTTATTTATCCATAACTTAAAGGAGAAGAACAAACACAAATAAATAGAACATGGAAACTTCTAAATATTCAGAATAACAAAAATCAGCAAATCTTCATTTACTTTTAATCTTTTCCTAAAATATATCATCTTATGAATGAAATACATTTTCATTCAATGAAGAAAGCTACTACAATAGCTCAATTTATTGTATGTTATGTGCCTAGGTCCAAGTTAAGCACTCCATAGATAATCTCATCTTTATGATAACCTTACACATATGAATACTGTCCTAATTGTATCAACAAGCAAACTGAGGCTTAGAATTTCCTCTCATATATAAATATAGGGATAATAACAAAATTTATGTCAAAGCAAGATTATGCATATAAAAGCACTTGGAACAATCTAGCACATAGGAATACTCTCAAGAATTTTCATCATTGTTACTATTCTGCATTAATGTCATCTCTTTTTCAAATTAACATTGTCTTAAAAAAGGGATTTAACAATAAGATTAAGTATATAAATCATCACTGTCCCACAGAACTCTCTGTGATGATGGAAATGTTTTATGACCCATGCTGCCCAATATGGTGGCCAACAACTGTTAACTTAGTCACTAATTGAGGAATGTTATTTAATTTCAACTTATTGAGAAGGAAATTTCAAAAGCTACCTGTGGTTAATAAAGCAGTTTTATTTATTTATTTATTTACTTACTTACTTACTTTAGTATTCATTTTTTAGTTGTAGTTGGACACAATATCTTTATTTATTTATTTATTTATTTAATGTGGTGCTGACGATCAAACCCAGAGCCTTGCACATGCTAGGCAAGTGCTCTACCACTGAGCCACAATCCCAGCCCTATTTTTTTTATTTTTTAAGGAAGGTAAACAATCAGCAAAAGTTTATTGACAATTGACCACAATAGAAGACTCCCAAAAGTTCTTTTTAACTGACATAGTGTTATTATCCAAAGAGAAAGTAGGGCAGTTTTAAATGACCAAAAATAAGAACTAACCCCAGCATCCTCAAATCAGTTCATGTACTTACATAAGCTTTCTCATACACATTTTTCACATGGAGGCAAATTATGCATAATTATTTACTTTCAACAGTTTTCATATAAATAAATGACATCACAAGGGACACTGGTTCTTAGTAGCCTGGACCTGTAAACCCACACTGCTTTGAATCCACTGGCAACCCGCTAAGATATCAATTTTCTTGAGGAATTTATTTTGCAGTATTTGTTCAGTGAATTCTTTTGCATTCCAAGACCTTATTCCTATGGAAACTAACACCTTGTGGCATTTTATTTTTTAATTCCACAAAACAAGACAAAGCAGGTCACTGAGATGAAAACTCCTCTTGTAAACTCTTCTCCTTTATCATTCTGTACTTTAAAAATAAATTTCAACTGCAAATCTCAGCAAATACAAATATATTGAAATTGAAGCATATTAAAAACAAGACATATTTGGGGTTTTTGAGGTAACATTTTAAAGCAAAGAGGGGGAGCCTGAGCCCAATGGAGACTGCATCAGGCATGGAAAGAAGGAAATCTCTTCTGAGGGCATCTCTCCTTTCCTCCTCCTTGGGCCAGTTGCTCTTTCCTCATCTTTGCATTTCCCTAGAGAAAATAATTGAATCTTTCATATGATAAAGAGTGTTTTAGGTTTTCCTGATCCGGGGGGTATAAAATTATCTCTCTGTATCCTGTCTTTCTCAATCCTTCTGAAATATATTATGAGAAAAAGCATAATGTGCTAATTTCCAAAATCATTTAAAATGTTACCCTCACCTTCCACCATAAAAAAGAAAAATAAACTGCATTATTTTATAATTATAATAAATTATAATTCAAGGCTATAATAAACCAAGACCATCAGAAGGATATTTTGTCTTCAGTGCCACTAACCAATTTATTACTCAATGGAATAATCGGGACTTACTGCAAACTCTGAAAACTCTTTGTGCATAACATCCCCCACCACACTCTCTGAAATACGATTACATCCTGATGAACTTTCTTGGGACAAGTTCAGAGAATCGATAGCCAACAAATACCACCTTGTCCTTGGCTTCAGTACCAGCAGTAGATAGTAATTTTCTCAACAATAGAATCACTGCAAGGCAGCACAAGGAACACTGTCTCCTTTATTGCCAGTGGGTTGCATTTTACATTCTGAATTCCACTTTCAGAGTGATTGTTTTCTCTGTTCAGAAGATGTACGACAGTGTCATCTCTCAGTACATTGGGACAATAATTCAGTCTTCACTGTACAAAGTCCACAAAGGGCTATTACTCTGCTGGATCTTCATCTGGGCCTGGTGTTTATAATTACATTTTCTGCTCAGTTAGACTCTGACCACAAAATGTTATATGTTCTATTTTACTTTAAACTCTTCCTTTTTTCTTTACACTCAGTTTTTAGATAGGAGCCGTCACATATTTTGACTAAATAAATTCATTACTTAGAGAGCAGAACTGAAATGTGCTTTTAAAAAGTGTATCTTCTATACCATAATAATATGGGTTTGTTTTCATCAGTTCAGGCAGTCCAAAAAAACTAAATTTATCTTTACAATTTGATTAAATCATTGAGGTAAATCCTGTGTGGCCTGAAAGATAAGATCAATTTGATGTCAGTACACAGTAGTTACTTCATAACTGTTTATTGAGAGAATGTATGATAGAGAAAAAAAAACTTATTTTGTTACCATTTTTTAAAGACATTCACTATATTGTCACATTTTATGTTCATAATCATGATTAACTGATATTCTATATTAGTTTCACATAAAATACTAGCTATTCCTTCCTGAAAAGGGATAATAAACACATGGCTACTTGGAGAATTTTAATCAAATTAATAGCAACAGCAAAAATGTCCTATTGCTAATTCTGGAATTCTCACTGAAGAGATAGGGGATTCAGAGGCTGACGTGACATGGCTCATGTAGTTTACAGCCCAGGATCTGGAAAACAACTTACTCATTCCTTATGCAATCTTAGACAGGTTAGATAGCTTCTCTTGACATCCTTATCTGTATAATAGCAAGTCAACAGGATCTACCATGAGAAATAATTGAGTTCATATATATGAGATTCAAGATAATGCAACGCACATAATAAAAATGAACATTCAAATATTGAGATTATGGCCATGATGATGGTGGTGGTGGTGATGAGGTAGCAGAGGAAAAATAAATATTGGACTCAAGTTTTCATGTGCAGGTAGGTCATTTTCAGTCTCATCCTGGTGGTTGTAGATTGATTCTTCTTATTTTTGTTCCCTTAGATCTCAAAGAAGCATTGTAATAGGGCTGTTTCTCTAGAGCAAGTGATATATATTCATTTTGTGCCCTCTTTCAGAAAGTGCAAGTGGTGGTAACTGTTTTGGACTATGACAAGATTGGCAAGAACGATGCCATCGGCAAAGTCTTTGTGGGCTACAATAGCACTGGCGCGGAGCTGCGACACTGGTCAGACATGCTGGCCAACCCCAGGCGACCTATTGCCCAGTGGCACACCCTACAGGTGGAGGAGGAAGTCGATGCCATGCTGGCTGTCAAGAAGTAAAGGGAAGAAGAAGCCTTTCTGCATTTGCCCACATAGTGCTCTTTAGCCAGTATCTGTAAATACCTCAGTAATATGGGTCCTTTCATCTTTCCAGCCATGCATTCCTAACACAATTCAGTGGTACTTCAAATCCTGTTTTAATTTGCACAAATTTAAGTGTAGAGAGCCCCTGTGCCCTTCATCATACCACTGCCCTCCAAATCTACTCTTCTTTTAAGCAATATGATGTGTAGATAGAGCATGACGGAAATTATTTATTGTATCACACTGTTGTATATACCAGTATGCTAAAGATTTATTTCTAGTTTGTGTATTTGTATGTTGTGTTTCCTAATATGTGTATATCTAGATGTTTTTAATAAGATGTTCTATTTTAAACTATGTAAATTGACTGAGATATAGGAGAGCTGATAATATATTATATGGTAAATATAGTATCGTCTGCATTCCAGCAAAAATATCAACTTGTAAGGCACTAGTACAGTTAAACTGACATCTTAAAGGACAACTTAAACCTGAGCTTTCTATTGAGTCATTTGAGTACCAAGATACACTTCCACCACATATTCGGTGGGTGAATCCAATTTTGTAGAATTCCTTCACAGGCAAAATAGCATGATCTGAGCAGCATCCAGGCCGACCTCAAGGAAGCATAGCCACAAACCAGAATAGCATCTATCTGTACATTCTACAAAGCTAAAATCATGGCTTCACTCTTGTATTTGAGGAAGCAACAGAACAGGAGTCAATGAATTCACATTACTTCATGTAGAGTAATGACAGGATATGGTGTTCAGTGAGTATGCAAGGGCGTATGAGCGTGTGAGTGTATGTGTTTGTGTGCATGCGTGGAGCACACATTTGTTTGGGGATGGGTGGGGGAGGAGAAACTGAGGGGAAAAGTCAGCATTTCTGAAATATTGCCTATTTAAAAAGAAAAAAATAGCTCTCCATTATCACCTTTATACAAAATGTGCATCCTGTGAATTCTGTTC